CTTGATTGTCTGCTGTTGTCTATTATTGATCGATTTGCTTGTACATGCAGTTTCTCATCATGTTTTCGTCGTGTCAATCAACTTAAAATGGTACCATGGATGATTACTATTAGTTTCATACGAAGTTCTATCTTATCAGTTTATTCACCTATTTTTTTCGACTTGATGCCTGGTGTTGGATGTGATTCAGGATATCCATTAGTCACAAGTGCATTGTATATTATAATCAATGGTTTAATGCAACCCATAGAGATGTTTATTTTTGTTGTATTGACTTATAGAAATATTTGGCAGAGTCGACGACGAGTTGTAAGTATATTCAATATACGATTTTAATAACAACTCAGATTATTTTATTGTAGAATATAGGGAGAAATACTAACTCACATAGTTTTCTTAAAAAAAATCATTAAAATGGTATTTCTACAGGTATTAACGACTGGTTTGTTTTCATCGCAATGGGCTATTATGAATACATATGCTTTAATAACGCGAAATTATGAAAAAAGTAGTAAGCAGCTATACATAGAAATATATGTTACTGTTATTACTCTTTATCTGTACTATATAAATAATGTTAAATCATTCTATTGCTTGTTTTTGGGTTCTTCTGTGTTTCGAAAAACATTTATTCAAGCTTTCATCAAACTACTACCTGCATGCTTACAACCAAGAAGAAATTTGGTACATTTTCAAAAGAACAGAATAGTGCACCAATAAACGACATGAAAAAACCTTTATTTCATAGACTATTTTGGTTAATTAAATCATTTTTCTCTCTAATTACATGTACTAAGTTCACAATTTATTAATTTTTTGTTGCATGTTGGTATCTATTGTTTCGTGTTTAGTTGGAAGGACATTGTAATGTGTTCAGTTTCAGTTACTCTTCCATAATGCTATATTTATTTACAAAAGCATTTAATTTACAGACGTTTCAAGAGCATCAGCTTTCTTCTTCAGTGTTTTACAATAAAATACAATAAAAATAAAACACATAAGACAACAGAAATGATAAGTGTATAGCCGTCTATACACAGGAAGTAAGAAAATTGGTTATTCTCTACATGGTGAGCTAGGTTAAAATCTATTTGATATATATTGCGATATGATTGTTCGTTGAAAGCACAATATATCCGGTCCTCAATGTCACTACGGACGAAAAATAGAACAACGAAAAAGGG